TTTAATCGCTCTGACAGCTACCGGCTCAGTGCGGCCTGGAAGCGTATTATTAAATAATACACATTACATTTTGATTTAAAGAATTACTAATCTACAACTCATTACTAATCATAACCAATGACTGATTACTAATCGATTATATAATTACATTACCCCCCCCCCCCTCCGCCGCTAATCACTGCACCTGATGAGTTAAGTGATGACGTCACTCTTCTGCTCTATATAAAACCGGGAGCAAGCGAGGGCTTTACCATTCTGGCGAATTGCCCGATGATGCTGGAAGTATTTACCAGCGAAACGTCGTACTCAAACTGTAAATGTGGATTAACTCTTCAACACACCGGTGGGCTGAAGTAGTGAATTATTTGTCTTTTGTCAACGTGACACTTATCTTTGCTGATTGGCCGTGTCGGGTGGTGGAGGGTTACGACACATTTATAAATAAACGCGATCTAACCCAAAAACCTTTATTATGAATAATATTGGTCGCGAAAGCCTACGTGTTAAACTGACTAACCTCTATGGGGAGGATACTTTTCTTAAAACCAGAAAATTGGAGAAGCTTCGCATTAAGCGGATTAAATTGATATCTTCACTGGCGTTCCTCAAAAGGTGCAGAGATTCAAAGGTAATACCAAACGCAGTTAAAATAACACATCACATAAAGTCTTCTAAAGCTAACCAAATACTACACAAAGCTAGCGAATTATTATTAATAGAGAGAATACAGCACAATAGGAGTGAATTATCTTACATTTCGGAATCGCTAAAGCAGTTACACTTAGATATAAGCAATAGTGTATCTATGCATTATTGGAATATAATCGATAACATAACACAACAATCGGCTGATAATGTGTTTAAACTAACAAAAACTAACCAAATTAATAAATTTTCTAGACTACATAATAAACAAATCCCTACTGAAAACCAAAAACGTAAAAACAAAACTGTACTGAACTTGACCAACACTGTATTAACCGGTGACATGGTCTCTATCCTTTCTAAAGGCCTTAACTTTGCCGTTACCCCACGCACAATTCCAGTGGATGAGATAATTGCTGAGGTAGAATCAGCAGTTAGACTCCTTCCACATAATGAGGCAGAGATGACTAGACATGAGGTTGCTAAAATAATTGAGAATAGAAAAGTTCCAAAAGTAAATATTAGCTCTAACGAGGCAAAAGCCTTAAGAGAGCTGCGTGTAAATAAGGATATCCAAATCCTAGCAGCTGATAAAGGCCGCACTACTGTACTGATGTCACGAGCCGATTATGATAATAAAATTAGAAATTTACTAGAGGAAAGTACCTACATTAAAATTAAACGAGATCCAACTAATACTTTAGAACGTAAGACCACTGCAATAATTGCAAATTCATTAATCCCTAAAAATGAGCAATACCTAATTAAGCCAAGGGCCTCAAAACCACCTAGACTCTATGGGCTACCAAAGATTCATAAAATCGGCATCCCATTACGACCCATAGTCAGTACAATTGGCTCTGCCACATATCAATTAGCAAAATATATAACCAAACAAATACAGCCCTACATCGGTAAGACATCTTCATTCATAAAAAATTCAGAACATCTTGTGAATGTGATTAAAGATATTAAACTTACTCCTGATGATATTCTGGTAAGCTTTGATGTGATTTCTCTATTCACTAAGGTTCCAGTGGACGAATCGCTTAAATTACTTGATACACTAGTAAAGAATACCGGTTTACAAAAAGATATTCCGAAACTTGCTGGCCATTGCTTAAATAACACTTACTTCTTATGGAGAGGGGATTTCTTTAAACAAAAGGAAGGAGCAGCAATGGGTTCTCCTTTATCCCCTGCTATAGCAAATTTGTACATGGAAAACTTTGAAATAAGAGCACTTGCCTCGAGCACATTAAAACCATCCTTTTGGTTTAGGTATGTGGATGACACTTTGGTTGTCTGGCCACATGGTAAAGATACACTTAATGATTTTCTAAATCATCTCAATGCCCAAAACCCGGCCATCCAGTTCACCATGGAAATGGAGGTGAATAATACACTCCCATTCCTAGATATTTTGCTTGGACATGGCCTAAACGGTAAAATAACACACAGCGTTTACAGAAAGCAAACGCACACTGATGCCTATCTGAATGCAGAATCACATCATCATCCAGCTCAAAAATTCTCTCTTATTAAGACGCTCGTGCATCGGGCGAAAACAGTGTCAGATGGTGAGAGTCTAGTGAGAGAGATTAAACACGTTAAAGACGCACTACGACAGAATGGCTACAATAATGCTCAAATTAACAGAGCACTGAATGCCAAATCACGATCGCAAAGCAATACTACTGAAAGCGACCAGATTGTTAAAACAATAAAAATTCCATATATCTCAGGAGTAACTGACAAATTAGCCCGCGTTTTGCAAAAGCAAAACATTACAGTAAGATTTGGTACAGTACACAAAATTCAAAAACTAGTATCTTGCACTAAAGACGCATTACCTAAACTATCAACAGAAGGTGTATATCGGATTAATTGTTCATGTGGCAGCTGCTACATTGGGCAGACGGGACGTAACATCAGCGTAAGACTAAAAGAACATCAGAGAAATATTAAATTATCTCAAACACAACTGTCGGCAGTGGCAGAACATGCTTGTCAACAAGGACACTCAATTGATTTTGACAATGTTGCAGTGGTGTGTAAAACTAATTATTACTGGCAAAGACTAATTAGAGAATCCATTGAAATTGAGAGGAACAAGAATAACTTTAATCGCTCTGACAGCTACCGGCTCAGTGCGGCCTGGAAGCGTATTATTAAATAATACACATTACATTTTGATTTAAAGAATTACTAATCTACAACTCATTACTAATCATAACCAATGACTGATTACTAATCGATTATATAATTACATTACCCCCCCCCCCCTCCGCCGCTAATCACTGCACCTGATGAGTTAAGTGATGACGTCACTCTTCTGCTCTATATAAAACCGGGAGCAAGCGAGGGCTTTACCATTCTGGCGAATTGCCCGATGATGCTGGAAGTATTTACCAGCGAAACGTCGTACTCAAACTGTAAATGTGGATTAACTCTTCAACACACCGGTGGGCTGAAGTAGTGAATTATTTGTCTTTTGTCAACGTGACACTTATCTTTGCTGATTGGCCGTGTCGGGTGGTGGAGGGTTACGACACATTTATAAATAAACGCGATCTAACCCAAAAACCTTTATTATGAATATAAAACAATAAAATTCTCACGTTTCGACTGCAACACAAGCAATCATCATCAGTCGAAACATCGTGAGATTTTATTTTATATTAGTATTATTTTGTTTCCCTTCTACGTGACTTCAGAAGAATGTTAATCCACGTTTATCTGTCCACATATGCATATAATTAAATGTCATTGCAGACTGAGCTGTACATGACCGTCCACCCTGTTTAGAGTCTCTAAACACTTGGCCTCAGTGTGCCTATTTAGGTTGAGATGTAATGCAAGGTACTTTGGGAGTTTCACACTTGGGATGAGTACGATCTCTGTACTGTACACTGAAAATCCTCATTGGTTAAAAAGGCTGCTTTGCCCCAAGTTTCTCTACGTGTATTCAAGAGCAAACCCTCAGTGGCACACATACTGCACGGGGACTGGAATAGACAGCTTAATAGGCTGCTCTAATACCTTGGGCTAAGGCACTCTATAAATATAAAATTACAGTACTGGTATTTATTGGGCTAGCTTGCAATCAGTTATGCACACACTAGCCTAAGAAGGCAGTTGAGTAGGGAAAACAAAGCCTTGACTATGTTTTCGACTGTCCAATATTGGGATTTTTTTCATAGGTATTTTGCATATGGCATAAAAAATCAAGCAGCCAAAAAAACCCCACACATACGAGGCACAAATGGGTTTATGAAGCCGTTTATTGTCCTGTCAAGTCCTGCTCAATGCACAGCCAAGCAGGTTTGGGAATCTCACACATAGACGATCCACAAACCTGTCTCCGCAGTGCTGGATTAAAGGGGCCTTCACTGTATTTTCGCAGTGTAAATCCACACTTTTGCTCGTCTGACTATAGGTTTGACATCTGACCTGGTGACTTGGTGTGGCTCCCATTTACTTTTGCCATAAGTAAAGCTGGTGGGCAAAGCTGATTTACACATGGCGAAATATATTTTGATGCAGTGTAAGCTATGGCCTTAAACCTAAGTTATTATTGATGCCCCCATTTCTATATATTAAGTTTCAAATTTTATTACATCAACACACATTTTGCCAATTGTACCAATCAAGGGCCTTAAATAAAGGGCCATGCTTTCTTCAACATTGCTAGAATTGACAGGCACCATGTCGAATATAAAAGACTAGCTTTTTTGCCCAACCAAGGACGGGTGTATATTGCAGTAAATCTGAAATATTCAATAGAAAAAATGTTCAGCTCATGATTATTGAGGGGGGAAGGTAGCCCCATGTGGAGTTACGTCACCCACGAATGGTTATTGGAGGGGTGCGGCATGTGGAGTGACGTCACCCACTCATGGTTATTGTGGAGGGGTGCGGATTGTGGAGTGACTTCGCCCGCTGATGAGCATTAATGAGGGGAGGGGTGCGGCATGTGGAGTGCGCAACCTTCTTGTGCGTTTGTGTAAATTTCCACGCGGGCATGAATATTAATGAGGGGGGGGGGGCTCTTTTGCAGTGACATCACACACGGATGTAGCACTGTGCTGCGTAGATTTATTTTTTACCATCACTTTCTGTAAAGAAGCGTCATATTTGAAGCAACTTTGTGTAATAAATTATTTAATTCAGCTCGACCTTCTGCATTAGTGTAAAAATCCACCCACTCATTAATATTAATAAGGGGGGTGGGCCTCATATGGAGTGACGTCACATGGGGGGTGGGCCTCATGTAGAGTGACGTCACGCATGGAACCGACAGACATTTCTGGGTAATTACAGTAGGTCATTCCAAAGACACTTTCAAGCCCCAAAAATATGAAACATTTACTTTATTTATTGCTGGGCATAGGCCGTGCCATTGCAAAGGTGCTCCAGTCACCGCAGCGCACTGCCACCACCTCAAGGCTGTGCTGGCAGAAGAATTCCACGTGCTGTGGCTCGTCCCAACTCCTCCGGGAGCCATGGCCCAGCTGGCCATGCTCCCCTGAAAGGTGATACAACAACCAAAGCGTGTCGGTTATTATGCCTAAAGCATTGCCACACCTTCGGTGTTCGCTGTGGATGTACGACTTAAACACATTCTACATTTGTAATATGTTGAAAGCAAATTAGCTTTGTCATAAATTACTTCCATAGATGGTTAGCGGAGAACTTAAAAAAGACAATGTGCTTTGCGGACAACTTAGAATACCATTTTACAACATATGTACGTGTACTGACAAAAGACCGTGTCAATCCACTGCGGAATGGAGGTCGTTCAATTCCATGCATGTCATGAGGGTTATTTAGCATACTTCTCACGCTAATCAGAGTGATGGGTATGGTGGGGGAACATGGAAGTACAGTACAAGATTGGATTTCATAGCACTGCCCAATGCTGCCCAGAATGTCCATAACAGCTAGAATGTATGTGATCTCATCAGATCACGGAATAAGCAGCCTTGAGCTTGGTTAGTGCTTGAAAGGGTGAACATAGCTAATGGCCTCTTTCTTAATTGGGAGTGCGAGAAGCTGCATCAGTGTGTAGTTACGCACACCTGAAATTTAAAAAAATAACTGTTCCTATTACGTTTTAAACAAAAACAAATTGCTAAAATCCCAACTACGTGAAACAAAGATTTATTACAGACCAAGATTTGGTCTGAGGTGTCTTACTTATCCCATTTGTGAACTAGGTAGTTATTCCTATCTTGAACATAGTCTGGCATGCATATATTTAACGCTGTAGATGCATACCTGAAAAGTGCCACGTTAAGCAAAAATGTGTTAAGCGAGTAATTATATGTACATTGCAGGGTATAAATAAACCCAATGCACATTTGCATTTAAAATCACCCTACAGCCATCCCATGATGGGATGAAGAACTGAGATGAGGGTACGCTGCGTACTGTATTACTCCACGCGTAGACCCAGAATTCCCACACTGCTGAGCGGCCCAGACCAACAAAACAGTTCGTCATCGACTGCTCATAAACCGCATTATGACGGCACGGGCGATGTCGTTCAAAAAGTGTTTCCCAATAGAGGAACCGTATGATAGTGAAAACACATTGTGAAAAAATGCGTTTAGCGAGGATTTTCCGTATAATTTAATATCCATATCGCTCTTTTTCAGAAGGCACAATATATCAGCCTCGCAGACAGATCTGCCCAACTATCACTTCCCAATGAGTCTGAATGTTGTCAATATTTTTTATTCCAGAGGCAAGGGCAAGACAATTTAGATTGCATTATATACCACAATGAGATGTATTTAGGTTTACACAGTGGGGCATCCAAAACAGACAAAGTAGTTATTTCTAACACGGTCGTTGTAAAAACTCATTTCCAATGTGAAGGCTGCTTGGAGCAGTGAGAACTTTGACAGCTCATTTTCAGCAAGGCTATCCACTCATTTGTTTATGCACTATGCAAGCTGAGTATGAGGTAGACAGGAAATTTAATTTATGCTGATCAGTTTGTACACACACTGTGCAGCAGGAAATCACCAACAAATAATTTTAAGGCTTAAGGGTACGAGAATACGAACACGTATAACAGATCACAGTGGCTTTATTACACACATCCAATCAGATGATAAATATAATTGTAAATAAGAGCACAGCTAAAAGAATACCTTTCCTATGGTGTCCCATGACATGCAACGTAGGTAGGAAGCTGTTGAAAATATACACACTTAAAAGTAATAATCTGGATGACATGGATTTCAAAAGCAGTACTGTGCACATGTAAGCAAGTACACACAATCACTTACCCCATCCCCATGTGTAGAGCTTGCCACACTCTGCAACCAAAATAAACAAAGTAGAAGTTAACACTGAGTAATTTGAAATTCACGTTACAATCAGCTAGCTTGAAATTAATGGCTGTTATGCACTCTTCTTGAATTCCCATATTTACACAGGTAATACTCCTGCAATTACTTGTTCATGCCACTGCTAGGGCCTCCACTAGTATGTTTTGGCTTCCATGCTGGCCAGATGTCTTAGAAAAGATTGGGAGTACTCACACTTTACCTCGCTACACATGCCCTGAAGATCTTTTGTGATGTACCCAAAATTGGCGACTACCCAAAGTTGGCGACTACCCAAAGTTGGCGTGTACCCACAACTGGCGTGCAACCACAGCTGACAGGTATCCACAGCTGGCGTGTACCCACAGCTACTGCTGCTGGGTGGACAGTGGGGGGGGGGGGGGGGGGGTTAAGAAATCTGGCCATTGTTTCAACTACCGTGCTGGGAGATCAATCATGAGACCTGTGTATTGCAAGTCCATGTTCTAACAATTATACCACGGCAGCATCCCTCAATATTCACATAACACATGGTAACTTTAATTTTGGTCCAATACCATAAGGTGTCAATACAGCATACCTAACTTGTGAATGACTTCAGAAGAGTACTGTAAAATTTCTCAATATCAAAAAAGGAAATAGGGAGAATGCTGAAATACCTAGCTGTACACACAACACTTTCACTATATGGCCAAATATTACATGAATTTCATGTGAACCAGAATAATAATTCCGTACTTTTTATTTCTCTGTCTCTGCATCTCTCATCTTCTTCTAATAAACATGCTTTCAGTATAAATTTTGATTTAAAGCTTTCGTGACTGCAGTAATTCACACCTGAAGACGACCGTTTGTGTTATGGTCGAAACGTCGTGAGAATTTTTTATTGTTTTATGTATATTTTATTATTTTATTGTTTCCCTTCAACGTGACTTTACCGAAAGAACTAAGAATATGCTTTCAGTATAGCAACGGTCTTCTCACACTATGTTTTGCGCATGGGAGTTGTTTGAATAAAATTCACCACGTTGGTCAGTTTGCGACATATTGGGGGCCAGGACCATGCCAGGCATTACTTGCAACAGCCGATCAGGAAACATATGCATATCGCCAGTTAAGAGGTGCACAAATCACCGCATCATTGCTCTTCCAAAAAGGTGAACTACATATTTTAAATTATTAAGATTTACAAAAATATTTAAAATTAACAAAACATAAAAATCCTACACGGATTAGTTTGATATTTTTGATATTTAGATACACAGGTAAGCTGCAAACAAGCTTTAGTTCTGAAAACAGAATTTATGTAAAGGAAATTTCCAACTAATTGACACATGAAGTTGAGATGAAAATTACTCGTGAGGGCGACTGTGTGCCTGGACCCAGTGGCGACGGCCGATATCTCATCATCGCCGGGGAAGTCCAGCAGTGCAGGGAAGGCTTGTATTGAGATGTATTGTGTTCCCGTCTTCTGTGATTCTCCCTTTTCTCCATGAGAGACGTCCTGTGGCTCTCGTTCTTCATCCGTTCCGCACCCATGTTGTTGTTTGTTTGCATCCGACGGTGGCACCAGTGAACAATCATTCTCCCGCCCTTGTCGAAAACAAATTAGTCATAAAATGTAGACCACATAAAACCTCCTGTACCTCCACAAATTACTCTTCCACATTGCTAGAACAATGGCAACAAAGAAAAAATTAATATCACAACCAAGTTGAGCAATATTGCTCCACCAATAATTTAAAAAAGGTGGCACCTGTCAATAAGCATATGAATCTTCCAGTTGTTCATAAGCACAAAACTTCAAATTATAATCCATTAGTCATAATAAATAAAAATTGCAGTAAATCTCGTAAAAATGTGTCGTGAACCCACCACCACCCGACTGCCAATTAGTAAGGTTTGTCACGTAAACAAAACGTGCCGATTAGTTACTACTTTAGTACACCGGTATATTGGAGAGTAAACCCATAACAAATACAATTTGAGTACGACATCTCATTGGCGATTACAAAACCAGCTACATCAAGCGATTAGCCAGAACTGTGAAGAAGTCTTCCTGTTTCGGTTTTAAATAGAGTAAAGGTGATGTCACCACTGTGAACCCATCTAGATGTGAAGACCAGAGGGGGGTTAATGTGGTCATATAAGTTACAATGGGTCATGTTAATCTGAGAAAATGCAGTATATATTCCTGGTTGGATTAGTCACAGTTAATAAGCATATGATAATGTGAATAGGCATGTAATAAAATGGTGTATTACCTAATAATATGCTCCAAGCAGCACAGCCTATAGCTATCAGAATGGTGCTGAAGTAATAACTCATTGCACGTTTTGTTTACGTGACAAACCTTACTAATTAGCTATGTCGGGTGGGGGTGGGTTCAAGACACATTTATATTTACGCGATCTAACCCCAAAAAAATTATTATGAATAATATTGTTTGTGAAAGCCTACATGTTATATAATCCATTCATTTTCTATAGGGAAATCGCTTGAAATTTGAGCAGTGTGATATCATTTTCAGGTTGTCAACCATGTTACAAATAATCAAATGACTATAATCTATTACTGTTTCGAAAACAATTGTCCAGTGTCATGAACATTTTAAAGAGTGCTTATACATTCATTTTAATTGGAGAGTATTTCACCACACATAAATCACTAATCCACCATTAAACAGCATAAATGTCATGTTCCATCCGGAACTCCAAAATTTCCTAGACTGTGCCTCTTTTGACCACAACTTTAAGTGGGCTGTATCAGCTCCACAGGTCTTTAAGTCTATTTTCTAAGTCTCTTTTCCAAAATAGACTTGTCTCAATGGTATCTCATTTGGCTATTAAGGTTATTGATGAAGAAGAAAAATTATATGCGCATCTGCCAACATAACAAACTGCTCTAAATGGATGGGCGGCAAGGTCAGAAATACTTCAATTAGCATGGTTAGCTACGTACGGTGCGAAAGAAGTTCAACATACATACTGTCCATTATGATGAATGTATTCTTAATTCCAACTCCCTATCCTAATCATGTGAGATGGGCAACATCGTAAGTGGAAGCCATATGCAAGCAGTGTCAAAAGCATCTCTGGTGTATGGTTGAGGCCCCTTCTGTATTACAATTACTTAAGGCAGCGGAGTCTGCAGTGGGAGAAAATCTACTACAACAGGGAAGTAGGGCCCTGGTAACCATAGCTTTACCAAAACAAGCTGATCCTCCACTTGGCCAATGGCATCCAGATAGCGGGACTGGAGGAAATACTGCTAAGTGTCTTACCAATCATTATTCATAATACCATGACATGAGCTCTGATAAATTTCTCCATGCCCGCCCAGGTGTCACCTGCATTAACAAAATCGGTGCAGCTCACGCAGGTATCGTGCTGGCTGTGAAAGTGAGTTTTGTCTCCCCAGCTGAGAAGTCAGGGTTGGGTGACAATGGGATTACTGCAACAGAGGAAGACGATATAAAATGAATCTATATATATATAAAATGGAAATTTGTGAATGTGTGTTTGTTAAAAATGTTTAGCATACTTCCCAACATGCAAACTTGAAATTTGGCATGTGGGTAGCTTCCAGGCTTTACACAATGCAAAAAGTATAAAAATAGACTTGTACTTTGGGGGTGGGGGGGGGGGGGGGCGCAATAATATATATTTTGCACGGCAAGTAAGTGGTGACGTCACATCTGTAATGTCACCCGCATGCGGCAGCGTTACGCAGTGTGCCTGCTGACGTCACGCATCCCCCCCACCACCCTCCGCGTAGGCCGCCTATTAATCCAAGACAAGAATCCAAGTCCCGGGCGAAGCCGTGTAGTAAAGCTAATGATACATAGGAATAAGTGGGTCCAAAAAGCATGATGACACTGAAATCTGTGCTAAACACTGCACAGAGTTATATGCTTCTCACTTACCATGGAGATTGCATCGTTTTGGAGAGTTACTCCCCTCACCGAGACCACGTTTTGATGGCAGGCCCAGCTGTCCAGCTTCATTCCAGCCCCAAGTGTAAACATCCCCACCCCCTGCACGTAGCACCGTAAGAGAACAGTCTCAACGGACGCACTCAACAAATACACATATTCGTGAGAATGGGACTGTAGACAAAATAATTTCACAATTTAAGTTTCTCTATGAACATGGGACATCAGTGTTACTTGGGCATATGTCAGGTGTTAAAATGAAGAGCAACCCAAGGATTACATTTCTACTACAGTTTTAACACTAATAGCAATCAATGTGAAGAACAAATGTATTAATCCAACAAAATGCCTCATGTAATCTGCTTAGGTATTCCCATAATTTTCGTGGGACTGCGGCTCTGCAAACCTTCCCAGTAGTTAGAGTTCTCCAAGGATTTGTGAACCAATCATAAAAAGATGTTCAAGTGGGTGCTGCCATGATTCAGTATATTGACTCCTGTAGTTCCCAAGGGCCACTGGTCTCATGTGGATCTATCAAAACTGCAACAAACAATTAAGACATTGCTTATGTCTCATCTATCCTGTGAACACGTGATGGAGATAAGGACCTTTCCATGTCTGGAAACAAAGTTTAACAGGATGGGCAAATATCTATTCACCTCCTCCCTATGCCCCCTCATGTGATCTATTTTGTTTCATAATTTACTTTTGGGTTAGGACACATAACCTTAGGTCAGAAGGCCCAACCCTAAACTCAATTAAGAATCATAATTTCAGCTATAGTTTTTTTTAAGATACATTTTCAATGTCAGTTGCCAAATTGCCAAGTTATCATTTCATTTTCAGGAGAAAGGCAGTAACAAAAAATGGAGGAGAGGAGAAAGGATAAAGGACGCATAAGAAAATAGAACATCAGGTGACAATGAAGAACAGCATGAGGTAGCGGAGAGTGATGGGGAGTCATGAGAAATGAATAAGACAGCACAGGTTATCCCTTCAGTCAATAAAAGTCAATAACATTCGTACCACTTAGTGGGACTCAACAGTGGTCATCCTATAAAATAACAGACCTGGGGAACGTGGAATTTCAACCAATAACTCAGGAATCTCTTTAACCCTCCCCAGCGCACAGCTAATATGTACACGCAAGACAAGCAGTGCAAATATTAAATATATCAGATATAGCAGGATGATGACTCACTGCTGAGGGCCACCGAGTGCCACCCCCCTGCCGCTACGCCCACCATGGGAAGGCCCTGCAGTCCCTCGACGGGCCGGGGGGCCACCTCGGCCTCTGTTGTACCATGTCCTTGCTGTCCATGCCTAAGTTGGACAACACACCATCATCTCACTGTTCATTTCTAGTTTGTGATAATTGCCCAGAATCAAGCCCGGAATCCCAGCTATGCCAGCTCTGTGCTCCGACCTCTGAAATCACTTGTCCAGATCCACTCATATTATTTAAACTTTATGGGTGCGCAAAGTAGAATTTAACAACTGTATATTTATAAAACGCATTCGCTCAAGGCACTTAACACAGTTTAACAAGCAGTAACAAAACGTAGTAAATGCATTTTGGGGGGTTGCAACTTTTCTATTTTTCAATGGATTGAATGCTCAATTTCACTTATAAAAGATAAACTTAAAGAGGAACCAATATCAGCCGAGTCATTGTGCCCAATTGATTCGTTTAATTATATTTAACAGAGAGGATTCGTGATTTAAACACATTATTGGCATATGAATGGGGAAACCTCGTAAATGCCAAACACAGAATGTTTACGCGGAAAAAAGTCTATAGAAACCACAACAGAACACAGTAGGCCACGTGAAGCACTGCACCTCACAAGAATTTGAGAATCCTCAAAAATAAACCTATCCAAAATGGTACGCATAAACATTATTTAGTTAATTACGATACCTTTATTCGCTTATATAATTATTTTCTCTTTCGTGTGTATGCATTTCTGTTTGCCACCTTAGTCCAATTCCATGTTTCTCTTGCTATGCCAATGTGTGTCCCTCTCTCCTCCTGTGTTCCCCAATGTCCTCTATGGTTGACCCACATTGTATTATTATTTAACGTTGGCAATGTGGCATCACTTTATTTTAAATGATTATTGTTAACAAAAGGATTGCTCCATGCAAGGCAATGTGCACGTCACCACCAGCAGTAAAATATAATTGCATTGCTACTCGGGGAGCGACGAAAACGCCCCCTGGCGATGATTTTATGAATCGTAGCGATTCAGCTTCACAATTCAATTTAAGAATCAATTCTTTCTTTTAAATTGCGTGAATGTAGCGACTCCTAGGGGCTGCAGGGATGAGGTAAACCCTCTAAAAAATCGATCCTTCTAATTTAATACTCAATTTAATACTCAACATTAATCACTGTCCAATGTATCATCAGAGAGCAGCCTGGATGCAGATAAAATAGTTCTAGATTGGACAGTCATAGTTCAATAATAACAGGCTTAACTCATGACCCACTGAACCAATAATACACGTGTAAATAAGAAATGTGCGTTACTGCTGTGAATTCTTTAGAGGACATACTTTCAGTTCAAGCTTAATTTCCATCCAATCGGCTACTCATTCCATTCTGTCTTGTAAGCTTATAAACGTATAAATACTTTTCTCTTCCATTCCCATAAGCCTCATTTGTGTTCCTACCCACTCCAATGAAACATTGATGAGTAACATAGTGTCACTATCTATTGTGCGCGAACATGTTTAATATGTGAAATGGAAAGGTAGCGTCTCAAACATATTTGAGTTTCACTTTACAGAAATCTTTACAACTGAAATTAGTGTAGACGTGTTCATATGTCCACAGTACCAGTTAATGATGTGTCTTTCCCTACATATCCGAATGCTATTGTCTACTGATGCTGCTAAAAAATTATATAAATCACTTGCGGCCACCTAGACCTGTTCTGTTCTTACCTGCCGGGGCCCCAACCCCAAACGGTTCCATCGTCTGTGAGAAGGAGCACATGCTCGCGCCCCAGGGCCAGTTGAAGAGCCCGCACCCCTCCCGCCAGCTCAGGCAGTGGATGGAAGAAAGGAGGTCGCAGGTCAACATAACCACCGGGCACGAGAGGGAGCACTGCTTTCACAGGAGAAGCAGAGTAACAAGCATTCTAAGAGAAGGTAGCAATTCACATGAAAAGGGTACACTCACATTCTATTGGTATTTTCAAAATATAAAAGTTTCACAAACATTAAGTATAATGCCTCATTCACGTGGAATGACACTGCATGTTCCTGAATTATTTAGAAAACTGACCAAAAACCCAAAAAGTCCTATTTTAAATTGCCAATGTATTGTTGTTAAATGCACTGGCGGAGCCAGGGGGGGGGGGGGGAGTGGGGTGACACGTGGCCACCAAATGATCCGATCGAAATTCCTCATTTCGATCGGATCATTGGGGTTTATTAGTAATAAATCGGCATTTTGCGACCCCTACTGCCACTGTGTAGCATATTATTACGTGCCAATGAGGTGATAGAACAATAGTCTGAGTCCATAATTGGCAATAAGTAACGGCAAAGCAGTTATAAGTGACTCAGAATTGTGCGCAGTCGCGTACACAGTACACGACTTCCCTGAAGGCATTTACCTTCAGCGAGCACGATGCCGATCACAAATGGTTCGAATTCGACCCTCGATCGATGGCTGCGCCATCGCCACACACGTGTCGAATAAAAAGCAAGGGACAAGTCCATACTTACTATCTCCTATCATTTTTGATTGCTGGAGGGGTTGCCCCCCCTACCTGAAAATCCTGGCTCCGCCACTGGTTAAATGGTATACAGGTATCCCTCAATCTATGAAAGGGATGCGTTCTTCAAAAAACACGCGTAAAACTAAATTTCGTAAATCAGAATGGATTTTACAAATGTTTCAGATAGTCATTCAAACACTACTCCAAACCTATAAATATACTTTTCACAATACAAAAATAATAATAAAGAATATAAATATTGAAATGATTGAATAAAACATTTAAAACAAAAATAATTAATCTTTTCAGGGAACTCACCAAAATATCTGCATGTTGGAATGACTGGAAAGGTGATGCGGAGACAATACTATTGTACGGTAGGGATACCATGACACCGTCACGAATAGATGATGCAGCCTCCTGGGTGGTTCTTGTTTGATCACGTGGCATGTGCCATGTGAAATTTTGTTCATACGGAAATTCGATTATGGTAATCGAAAAATGTCCATAATTTGTCAATTGCATTCACGCAAAATTTCTTAAACCAAACGTTCGTAAATCAAGGGATACCTGTTATGCATACATACTTAAGTGCTGTTGTCTGTATGTATTTTTTTTTACCTGTTAAACATTTTCATTTCAATTAATAGTTAATCATTTTGATTTTATTAATGGGATTCGCAGTTACGTCACCTAGTATATTCTACATCATGGTCCTTAAACTTGTGGCACACATCTGACTCACAAAGGCCATTGGAGTGGCCTACTCAGAGATATGGCTAGCCAAGACAAATACAGTAAAACCGTGGATTGCGAGCATAATTCGTTCCGGAAACGTGTTTGTAATCCAAAGCACTCGTATACCAAAGTACTCGTATATCAGTTGTGGTCACGTGACGCTCGGCAGACAAAGCGTATACATACTACTCGTATTGCAAGACCTCGCTCGTTTATCAAATTAATATTTATTAAAAAAAATTGCTCGTCTTGCAAAACACTCGCAGACCAAGTTACTCGCAATCCAATGTTTTACTGTATATACAGATTAGTCAGATAAGATACAAAAGTGAGACAATATAAGAGAGGAGTGATGTCCACAAGAGAACAATTAGTGAGATGAAAGTGAGATAAACAAAAGAGAGATTAATGTTCACGTTTACAGACTTCATGACTTCACGACTTGACTTAATGTGGCCTGCTAGCACACACATCCTGTGGCATGCAATGAAACACACCGACCCAAACATATATATGTATTTTGAAGGGTGTCTATAAAGTAGGATTTGGTCAAGAGTGGAGTATTAATTTAATTATGCTGCCACATCTTGAATTGTACTGCCACATCTTGAATTGTACTCAAAACTGTAAAATATTGTCTCAATCAGGCATGTTATTTAGAAAATGGAAATATGAGTTGTCTACGTGTTACGTCACCCCTCATCATCGAAGTCGTAATCCTGTAATAGGTAACAATAAGGATACAGAGGCTTATTCACTTTGTCTCCCTCACTGGCGATGTGGTGAGCGATGCCATGGTGTATCACAAATCATGACGTCCCTTTGGCTCTGTGGTCTGACACCTGTCATTTTAGAAAGCGCCAGCCTAATTTCTCTCACTGCAGCATGCAATGAAGAGGTGGGAAGCTCTACCAATGATCATGCACCTTGGTCCAAGCAGAAAAGTTAGTTACGTTTATTGAAACCTAGAGACACGATAAACATAACTCTCACGGAACTGCAGCGAATGACAGATTTCACAAGATAGCTGTAGGTGACAATATATAATGCAGCACGAACACAATAGATTACCAGGGGTGACTGCCAGCATCAATCAGAATTATTTTGCTTAAAACAGTTACAGTACTGTATTTTGAAAACTGACACCATCTTTAAACAATATTTTATCACCATTTGTGTGTTTATGTCAATGTTTACTACTATTTTTAGATACCCATAATATAAAGCAAAGTATAACAAAGAAATAATACAACACATTTTACTGGAGAGAGTAATGCAAAAATGAAAGCACGTATGAGAAGTGATGCTTTCCAGGAAAAGATTGTATTATTTGCAATGAAAAGCAGAAAAAAACAATGGTGGTTCGCAAAAATGTGTGTCAATTTTAAACTATACAATTTACCATTGCATATCTGACTCAATGGAAACTGATGTATAGGCCGACATAAGAAAAGGTTCGCTAGGTGAACATCAATAGAAAATCACAGTTATGCCATGCACGACTAGGTTACTGGACAAAAAACCCCACAAACTGCTTTAAATACAGTGGAAATGCTTTATTGGTACTTTAGAGTATATCAGAACTGGGCAGGGGTGGATATATGGTCAGGGCAGATACGTAATTGGTTGTGTCGCTGTACAATAAAAAAAATTGAGACGGATGCCATCCAGACATCCATCCAACGTCCTTCCTTGTGGAAGAGATACGTAGATGGCACGTTCATCATCTGGCCACATGGCCTGCCAGTTCTGAACTGATTCTTCAACCACATCAATACCATACACCCAGCCATCAAATTCTCCATGGAGATGGAAAAGGATGGCAAGTTACCATTCTTGGATGTTTTGATCGAGAAGGGACGAGATGTCTCTTTGGGACACTCTGTCTACAGAAAAGCTATCCACACGGATGTCTATCTAAAACCTGACTCCCACCACCATCCAGCCCAGAAGAATTCCTTAATCAAAACACTACACCATAGGGCCCATTGCATTTCCGACCATCACCACCTAGCCAGTGAACTGGAGCACGTACACGAAGTCCTCAAGATGAATGGATATTTGAATTGCACAATCCGTAAAGCTGTCACACCAACCGTTGGGAGAGAACCACCTGAGGACCCAATCAAAACCATCACCTTGCCATACATAGCAGGGGTCACCAAAAATATTTCCAAAATCATGAGCAAACACAAGATCCATGTCCGATTCAACACAGTACGTAAAATTCGTGATCTGATCCCATCTGTGAAGGATGTGCTCCCTGACATGCAAGCTGTGCCTGCGGCAGTAGTTACATGGGGGAAACTAAGCGACATGTCTCAGACCGTGTTCGCGAACACAAGGTGGATCTGAAACACGGTAGGACCAACACCTCTGCTGTGGCTGATCATTGTTTTAACGCTGTGGGCACATATGAATTTGATTTCTCCAAGACGAAGGTACTATGCAAACCCACTGGCTATCAACAAAGATTTGTTCATGAAGCCATCCAGATATATAAACACAGACACAATTTCAACCGAGAAGATGGGTACGAATTGAGCAATCATTGGAAGGACATTATTAACCAGGTAAAGTCATAACTGGCTGTGATGCTTCCATCCTACCTGCCTATGTTAGCAGTTATTTCCGACTCTGAGTAACATTACCTTGTTAAATGTCTTTACATTAACAGGCTAAATGTCTCACTAACATAGCTGCTGCTCCCTTTTCCTCAATGTGGCAGTGTTGCTCGTTGTTTAATAGCTGAATGTCTCTCATTAACACAGCCGCTGCTGCGGGAGCCATCTCACATTGACATGCTAATCTGTAATCTCGAGCAATACAATGGCTTCTTCAGAACCGTAGCCGTGGGGTTACATTAACACATTGGCATGCTAATCTCTAATCTCTAGCGATACAATGGCTTCTTCAGCACCGTAGCCGTGGGGTCACATTAACACATTGACATGCTAATCTGTAATCTCGAGCAATACAATGGCTTCTTCAGCACTGTAGCCGTGGGGTTACATTAACACATTGACATGCTAATCTGTAATCTCGAGCAATACAATGGCTTCTTCAGCACTGTAGCCGTGGGGTTACATTAAGACATTGACATGCTAATCTGTAATCTCGAGCAATACAATGGCTTCTTCAGCACCGTAGCCGTGGGGTTACATTAACAGATTGATATAATCTCTAGCAACACAAGAGCCGAGGTGTACCTAGCTCTGCGATCTTACATTTACTTGCAAATTCCATCTCTAGCCCCGCCCACTTACCCTTGGGTTGTACCAATCTCAAACCTATATAACCTTTGGCTGCAGTAGCTCTCTCGCTATATTTCTTCCTGTCCCAGCAGCCCGCCTGCTGTATTTTTTCACCTGAAGACGATTGCTTGTGTTGCGATCGAAACGTCGTGATTTTTTATTATTTAATAATTTTTCTATCTACATGACTTTACCAAAAGACCCAACGAGTATGAATTCCTGCAGTCACGAAAGCTTTTAAGTCAAGATTTATAGCATAAACATAGAGCAATTCCTTAATATGGAACGTTTACAGATTACATATGTACCTGGTGCCTCCTTTGCTCCCGAGAGTAGGGGCATGTCCCAAAGGGGACGTGCATTCTCATGCAAGTCCTCTGGAGGCAGGAGAGCCAAGCTCCACTCCCACACCTGGGCACACGCGTGCGTCACGAGCACGAGACAACTATCATTGCATGCCAGCTGCTGCGCTCCGTCGGCCAGGGGAACGCGTGTGGGGCCCGCTCTCCCTCCCTGTGCAAACCCCTGGACGCACACATCTCGAGAACCTGCCAAGGAAGAGAAACACATTTGGATGAGCTAAACGTCTAAAAACCCAATTAATTAGGGCTCAATAAATTATTTTAAAAAATTGTCCCTCAATTAAACTATACAACGGATAAAATGATTTCATTTTGCAAAAATGTATTTTGTTATGGTGACATCCTTGCAAACATAAATGGGCTATAAACGTGTATCCTTGTAATACAGTACCTTTAACTGTGCAAGACACGTGTACACAGTGTGGCACTTGAACTGTGGTGGCACTTGTGCCAATTTAAAGATCGACTTCAAACCCCAGTTGGGGATGGATTCAGCCCATCACAATGGCATTAAAACGAATAGCTGTGTGAGAAGTCAACACTGAGTGACAGTGGCCTCTGTAATAAGGAATGAGAGGAATTCCCACCACCACCTCAAGTCACCAAGGGAGACGTGTAATTTTACATCTTTACTGGGCTTTACGGTTTGAATAACTTGGCTCTCCTTGCACATCTCACACCTTTTAGCGGAGGGTCCCTTTTTTAAACCTGGCCGTATATTTGAATTATTTGTGGCAGTTTATTTGAATTATTTGTAACGCGTATTTCTCATAAATACGAGGCGTAGACCTTGTTTGCAGGAATAGAGATGAACGTGGACTGTGGGCGCTTTGTGACCCAAGGCGATGGGAGGAATCGAGGCAGGCAAATGACGGAAGAGAGAAAAGCCCCAAAAGTGCGGGCGACGTGACCCAGGCAGATTTAGATGCCCCCACCACCACTACCACCCACAGTGGGCTCAGCAGACTGTTGGGTCAAGTGCTGTGAGCGGGAGGGGGGCCGGGACGGGGGTTGGGGTGGCTATCACCACGCCCGACCGCCTTTGTCTCCCTCTTGGCGATGTTTACACATCGTGCCGGGAACTCATTGAAGGCTGAGTGGAACTAGAGGAAAGCCCAGGTTCGGATCGCGACTGTTAACGGTTGTTGAGCGGGAACCGAACTCGGGTCGCCCGGTTTGTGGCGCAGCGCGTTAACCTCGCTCATCCACGCAGAAAACGATTACTTCACGCACAGCAGCGGAGCCAATCCGACCTTGATCCATTGCAACTGTCCCCATGACAGTGATTATTTTAAATGATAAATAAATCTCCTCAGAGCAGTGTCTACATAGACTCAGAGAGGCAACTTGCACCGACCCCACACTGCCCCCAACAGCGCCGCCACGAAGCCTCGGCGACAAGGCCGCAACATCGTTTATATAAACAAAAACTACTGTGCTATGTTGTTTATTAAAACAAAACACGGCAAGGGCGATCAAATAGCCAACGGTATAAACAAGTAGACTTCAGTTACGTTTACCGTCTGAAAATGAAATGTTTATTTCGCCGGCCTATAGAGGCTTTCCAGGCTGACGTCCAGCCAGGAGCGCTCCGGTAATGTTGGATCTGTTTTGCTGGTACTGTTTAATTCTAGATTTAAAGCTTTCGTGACTGCAAGGATCCATACTCTTTGGTTCTGTTTTATTATTTACCTACGTGACTTTACCGAATAGAACCAAAGAGTATGGTACTGTTTAAACCAGCAAACTGCCTTGGTCTCGAGAACCCGAGACGTTCAGCGGCAACGTGAGGCCCGAACAATAGCAAAATAATATTACAATACAATCAATAAAAAGCATCGTAAGTGCGGTGTCCGTGGCCGACAGTGGTGGGACAAGACTCCGCGGGACTCACCGCGCAGCGCCGCGCTGCCCCATGCCGGGGCCACGTCTACCACGGCTTGCTCATCCTCTCGCTCATCCTCTCCTCCTTCCTCCTCTCCTTCCTCCTCCTGCCGCTGCCGCTCCTCGTCGTCTCTTCTCTCCCCCGTCTCGTGGGCCCCGAGCGTGAGGCGTCTCGGACGGGTCACGCAAAGTTCCCGCGGGTCGCTCCCCGATGGGCCGAGCTGCCCGAACGCGTTGAATCCGAACGCGAACCAGCGCGGCCGTGCGGCGACTCCTGCTCCCTGGCGATTACAATCGTCATCCGTTTCCATCATCCACTACGGAGAGCCGATTATTCACGAGCATCGACAAAACACGATGTTCTACATGCAGTGTATATGGTGTTAGTACACTCGCAAAAGAGCCGGTGAGACGAACGGGATAAGATCACACGATGCGTTGAAGACGAATCGAGTCGGGAGTGAGTTCGCCATGGAGGAATCGAGTTGCCAACTCTCGACACTCCGTATTTTTATTATTTATTGTTTCCCCTTCTACGTGACTTTACCGAAATAACCAAGAATATATATTTACTCCATAGCTGTCAACCCCTTATCACAGTGCCCTATTACAGACCAATTCAGACCTTATTGGTCACCCCGTGCCCTTATACATCTCAACGTTCATCCTACAAAATCCCGTGTACGTATTGAAACGACTGTACGCCGTATGAATCTGAAAACTAATTTTCCCATTAAAAGAATACGGGTAAACCTTATATGGGTTGACGGCTATGGCACTGTCGTTGAATCCAGCTACTTTGTTTTTTTTTGTTTGCCTCGCAACGAGATTCTGTCGAAGCAAATAGGAGCGACATCTCGGGGGACCGTGACATGATGCAGATCGACGAGCGATTCCGCAGGGTTGTATTGAGGATCCTGCGTTCGTTAATTATGTTCAGTACGGTACGTGTCTCGTAACATTGTTTATTGTGTTGTGAAGAAGGGCCGTGGCCAGAAACGTCGCCTATTATAAATTTTCCATTTTGAGGGCGTGATATTGACATGTTGAGCTTTTAGTAACATACTCTTTGGTTCTATTCGGTAAAGTCATGTAGGTAAAAAATAAAAAACAAAAATCACGACGTTTCGGCCACAACACAAGCGGCCTTCATCAGGTGAAGGGACCAGGCTGTCTCGAGGACAGCGCTGGAGTGAAACACAGCCACGCTCAGACCGCGACCTTTAAGCTGTGTGCGAGGAAACAAGGTGCCTTGACAAAGGAATTAGCATAAAAAATAGCATTTGATTGGCCGACTTAGCATGACGAACGGTGTAGAGGTGGTGTACATGCGGGTGAACATGCCGGTTGGCGAGGGGGGAAGGGGAAGTTTACCTATTGATGGTGTGAAAATGGAATCCTTAAGAGCTGCGAAAGTTTGGGGTACCACTACTTGAAAAAATATACTTTAACATTGAAAATTAGTTTAATGTTTGGTTCGATTTAGAACATCTTTCCAATGGTTGCTTAATTTGAAACCATCTTCTAGGTTGAAATTGTGTCTGTGTTTGTAGATCTGAATTGCCTCGTGAACAAATCTCTGATAAAAAACCCGTGGGTTTGCAAAGAACCTTGGTATCAGAGAAAATTATATCGTGATCACCCACAGCGTTGTAACAGTGATCAGCCACGGCAGAAGAATTTGTTCTGCCGTGTTTCAAATCTGATTTGTGCTCGCGAATTCGGTCAGAGACATGTCGCTTTGTCTCCCCGATATAGCAATCACCGCAGGTACAACTCAATTTGTTAACCCCGGGGTACTGTAAGTCAGGAATGACATCCTTCACGGATGGGATCAGATCACGAATTTTGTGTACTGTGTTGAACCGGACCTGGATCTTGTGTTTGTTTAGAATTTTGGAAATCTTTTTAGTAACGCCTGCTATATTTGGTAGCGTGATGGTTTTGACCGGAGCATCAAGTGGTTGTTTCTGTATGGAGGGAGAAACAGCTTGGCGGATGGTACGGTCAGAGTATCCATTCCTTTTGAGGGCCAGGTGTACATGTTTTAATTCACTGGTCAGGTGGTGTTGGTCCGAAATGCAATGAGCCCTATGGTATAAAGTTTTGATGAGAGAATTCTTTTGGGCTGGGTGGTGGTGGGAATCAGGTTTCAAGTAGGAATCTGTGTGGGTTGGTTTCCTGTAGACAGAATGCCCCAATGAGCCATCAGGTCTCCACCAAATTCACCATGGAAGTGGAGAAAGATGGCAAGCTACCATTCTTAGATGTTTTGTTTGAGAGGAGACCTGATGGCTCATTGGGGCATGCTAAATTCGCCTAGTTATTTCAATGCTAAATTCTCCTGTTTGATTTGTACTAGGTGCCTCGGTGAATGTATATGCTCTGACTTTAACATAGCTATTTCTGTGACCAGTTACAAGCTAATCACTCAGCTATTTCAATGCTAAATTCTATGCTAATTCCTTTGTCAAGGAGTGCCTCTGCGGATGTGTATACTTTAGCTTAGCTATTTCAATGCTAAATTATATGCTAATTCCTTTGTCAAGGGGTGCCTTTGCGGATGTGTATGCTTTAACTTTAACATAGCCTTTTCTGTGACCAGTCACAAGCTAATCACTCAGCCATTTCAATGCTAAATTATATGCTAATTCCTTTGTCAAGGCGCTTTGTTTCTTCTCACACAGCTTAAAGGTCGTGATCTCAGCGTGGCTTTCTCACTCCGGCGCTGTCCTCCAGACAGTCTCGTCCCCTTCACTTGATGAAGGCCGCTTGTGTTGTGGCCGAAACGTCGCTGTCCTACCAGACAGTCTCGCCCCCTTCACCTGATGAAGGCCGCTTGTGTTGTGGCCGAAACGTCGTGAGAATATTATTGTGTTATTTTATTTTATCAATTTATTATTTTATTATCATTCTACGTGACTTTACCGAAAGAACCAAAGAAGATGAATATTATTGTGTTATTTTATTTTATCAATTTATTATTTTATTCTCATTCTACGTGACTTTACCGAAAGAACCAAAGAAGATGAATCCTTGCAGTCACGAAAGCTTTAAATCGAAATTGTGAAGGGCTTGTTTGCCGACTGTGGGTAGGCTAATGGTGTGTCATCACATTGCCTCCGACACTCGATACGGTCATTCTATTATTATTTGGGTCTTTCGGTAAAGCCACGTAGATAGAAAAATAATAAAGAAATTAAAATATAACGACGTTTCGATCACAACACAAGCAATCGTCATCAGCTGAAAAAATATAGTGGGAGAGCTGCTGAGGCAGGAAAACACGTGTGTAATTATATTGGTGGTTTGTGAAGGGGGAGGCCTAGGACTGACTCAGATATCACTCATGGCTGGAATCCGTGGCTGTGAATCGAATATGGGTCGCCGGGTTCATAATGCAGTGTGTTAACCACGAATACCAATAACCTTAATTCGCCATTGAGTGACGTCAAACACACCACGGCCCCTGTACCAGGCTGGGTGCACTTTGAGGCCACGTGAAGTGTCGAAGGCTCGCTGACAGGTCACGGGACAGACCCAGCAGGTGCCATGGGTTGGCCGACTGAGATGACTGGCTGATGCACCACCTGTGCCTCTACTGTGCCAACCTGCTGTGCTTTAGCCACCCGGCGCTCCGCTCGTTGTTGTGAGCGTCGCTCCTCCGCCCTCCGTTGTTGTTGGAGGGCGATTGCCTCCAACTGACCTGAAACAAAAAAAAATCCGCAGACTACCTGCTGGATCTCCTCTCTGTTTCAAAGAACAAATTTGACCTCAAGTCTTGGCTCATTTACCAGCTTCACATTCCCTATTGCCGTACAAAAACTGGAGGAAGGGCCTTTGCTATTGATGCCCCCAGGGTCTGGAATGCTATTGCCAATAAACTGCAACTTGAATCACTACCTATGAGATCTTCACTCAAAACTGCTCAAGAGGAGTTGTACACTCCTAGTTGCCACTGCTATTCAGTGGCCTAAAATAAAATAAAATGTTTCGTTCCGGATGACCGCTGCAAAGTATTATCTGTATTTTGATTTAGTGTGCTGATCTTAAAGGTGCATTGAAAATTTTGATACTCCGACTGCTGTTGTGGAGTGACTCATGCAGTCAGCTATGGCTACAGGGTTTGGTGTTACATGTTGTTTATGTCGTTTATTGTGAAAATTCGGTCACAGTTCCTATGATCACTGTTACATTGCTTTTATGGCTTTATTTTGGTGATTTCGAAAACTTGTTGGGGTTTGGCCATGTTTGTTTGTTGTAGTACGGAGTTAGACTGATGGCCTTAATCTAAGTTGTCTTGTGGTTGTTGTTGTTATTCTTAGCTCTTTCGGTAAAGTCACGTTGAAGGGAAACAATAAAATAATAAATATATATATATATAAAACAATAAAAATTCTCACGACGTTTCGACCATAACACAAACGGTCGTCATCAGGTGTGTCGGTTCGCATCAATTTATTTATTTATTTTTTAAACGGTGCATTTTAAAAAAAAAACGTCAGCGCCACGCGCAGCGATTTGGCAGTTTATTTAGAAGGACTAGTCCATCTATGTTCTGAAAAGAGGAGGGGGGAGACGAAAAATTAATGTATGCTGTCTGAAAGCCACTGTAAGCGTGAACAATCAATTAAGACCTGAAATGGTTAATCAAATCTTTCCAATGATTGCTAAGCCAGAATCCATCTTCTCGGTTGAAATTGTCTCTATGCTTGTATATGTGGATAGCCTCATGAACGAATCTCTCATGGTAGCCAGATGGCTTACAAAGAACCTCTGTCTTGGAAAATGCGTTAAATTATTGTTGTTGTTTGACTTGCATCTCACTGGGATTTTTGCACACAGCGTTGGTGTATGATGCTCTTTCAGGAATATTTTGCTGTTTTTTCCTGGATTTTCTGTTTGCACAGTCACATAGTCACTTTAAGATGTTTTCTTGTTCATGTTTTTGTGTTTTGTTTGTTGCGGTTGCACCCGATTAAAGAGCCGAATGGCTCACAGGGCTATACCAAATAAATGAAACTGAAAACTGAAAAAAGCGTCCTTCACGAGCCTCCTCCATCGTCCTAACCACGACGCCCCCATTGACTGCATCCGACTCACAGCACAAGAAATAAATATGAGGAATGCAAGTCACGTACAACAAGTTCAACAAGTTCACTGACATATCTGAGATGAATACAACGGGAAAACAGCAGAATAAGTGCTGTATATTATACAGTCCGCTATTAGCTGTATCATTCTCCCGCGTCTATGCTCCTCGCCTTGAACCCGCGTTGTCCAGGGTGCTAAAATGTGAATAACAAAACCTCAATAGAGTAGTCAATAACAATGCCTTGAAAAGAAAACACATATTTAATATTTTGGCGAATGCGTTAATTTTTTTTGTTTTGGGGGGGGGGGTACATTTGTGGTTGTGCACCATTGCTGACACAGCACTCTCACTAAATAATTTGTTTAGTGCTGAATTCTGCGTTCCTTCAATGGAGGAATAG